TGTATTACAACTTTCATTGTGTTTTTTTTAATCACTTGACAGCCGTAGTTTGAAGGTGAGGTTTATGGGAGGCACATCTCTGATGCTCCCACCCTTCACTCAGATAAATGAGAGGATTTAGATTTGACCAGAATTGAGAATCTGTACTGATATCAACACCATTAATAAAATGGAGAGAATGGGATCTCTTCCACCAGGGAAATGGTAAAATCCCTGCTGCAATCTCCTTCACTTTGGAAGAATTCAAAATAGTGCAGAACATTATATGCAAAATAAACTAAGTTAATATTTGACTAACTTGGGCAAATCAGGTCCTTTTAAATATTGACCAAACCCAGGAAGCTTGCACAATAAAAACCAACGTGCTTCCTCTCCGTATAAATGCTCATGTTTTTAGCTATCACCTAAAGTGAGATCTTTCAAACATCAACATCCACTCCAAACAGGGACCCTGATCTCTGGAGCAAATATTAATGGGATATTTGTGATATTTTGGCATTACAATTACACAAAACCAAAAATGGTCTTACTCAGGGTCAAGATTTCAACTCTTCCCTTTGTTTCCTTCAGTCTCTGTACTTTTTTCCTTCATTCTGCCAGCCTTTTCCCACTCACCATCACTTCACTTAGATTTTCAATTCTCCCTGCTTAATTGCCCACCCATCAATGCCCTAAGTCCCCCTCCCCTAACAATTCTCTAAATATAATTGTCACTTCTTTCTATTCCCTTTCTTCCATCCCTTACTGCTCTCATTTGACTTTGCATTCACTTCCCCACTCCTTCTGCCCACAGTGGAGTGTCAGAGGAAAAGGAACTAATTAGGGCCAGTTGTTTGCTCCTGGGCCCTTTTTCCACTGGAGTCTCAAGGAGGCAGCGGCTATAGGGGGAAAAGGATGTCTTCTCTAATGCCCCTTTTTCTCCCTTGCAGCAAACACAATGAGGTCTTCTTCCTTTCAGCCTTTGGGGAAAGCAGCAGATGACCTGTTAATTAAACAAATTGGAGAGAAACCTCTTCTCTGAAAGATGCTGCTCGTACTCCACTGATAGGTAGGAAATCTGAAAGCTCCAATAAACTTGTGTGCCAGTTCCCACTGCACAGTCTCCTGTGCTTGGAAAGTATTGACTCCATGAGACAGGCAGAATATGCAAAAGGAGCCTTGGATGAACCCCAAGCAGCTGCAGTAAGAGAACTGGTGTTGTCTTCTCTCCCTAGGGCAGCCTGCATACGGAACCCCTCATCCCAGCCCCACTCCAGATCAATGATTTAAATGAAGCATGTACATTTTCATTTTATTTTCCAAAAAACAAAAATGAATTTAGCTAAGGACCTAAGCAATGTCAGGTAAATCTTCTAGTAAACAAATATTTTAAAAAATGTAAATATACTATGTCAAAGTCTCTTTAAAGTAAACCAGGAATATTCCCACACTAGAATTACACGGTACAATCTTGCTTAGTCAAACCTTAAATATCTGAAATTCTATTATCTAAAACAGGACTATAAAGAAACAATGAAGTAGGAGAGTCCCACAGCCTTGGCTTCAGTCTGAGCCTGGGGCTATGTCTAGACAGCATCCCTCTGCCAACAGAGGGATGCAAATCAAGCACATCGAAATTGCTAATGAAGCAGGGATTTAATTCTCCCATGCTTCATTAGCATAAACATGGCCACTGCTTTTTTTCCCCCATATAGCAATGGTCACCAATCAGTAGATTGGGAGTTACTGGTAGATCTTGGAGCCTTTGACAGGTGATCCTGAAAGGTTTGGCCTTGGAGCTTCCCCCTCCAGCCCTGGGAGCCTCTTGCTTGCTGTGCAGAGCACAGGAAGAAGAGGAAGGGATGCTGATGTCAGGGTGCCCCTCCCTCCACGCTGTACGCCATCACCACAGAGCAGAGGCAAGGCAGGGATGGAGAGAGTTTGCTGGCTGCTTTTGGGAGGGGTGCAGGGCCAGGGGAGGGGTGAGCCTTCCTTAGCCCCCTGCACCACCACTCAGCAGCAACCTGTGGTAAGTGGTGCCCACCTGGAGCCCACATTCCAAACCCTGAGCCCAGTCCTGAACCCCTCCTACACCACAAAACCCTTCCCTAGTCCTGAATCCCCCTGCACGCAAACTCTCTCCCAGAGCCTGCACCTATCCTGCACCTCAACTTCAGCTCAGAACCCATGCCACACTCCAAATCCTTTAGCCCAAGATCAGAGACTGAATCCCCCTCCCTTATACCCCAGCCCTCTGCCCACAGCCTGATAAAAGTGAGGGTGGCAGAGGGAAGGAGGCGGGGCAAGAGTGCTTAGGTTTGAGGTGGATCCTGGATTGCACTTAAATTCAAAAAGTGATCTTATGCTTAAAAGGGTTGGAGACCACTGCCATACAGCAATGAAACAGTGAGGCAGCATGAGCTGTGGGCTGGCATGGGCCAACTTCTATGCTGTATTGAGAAACATACCCTAAGTTTACTAACATGATTAACATTATTGATAAATGTTGGTGCCACTAATTAGAAGAGATATTTCTGGTTAGAAATATTTTATTGAATGCTTGTTGTTCTTTTGCTAATCAGTGATATCAGTTGGTTAAGGAAGCAAGTGAAATTTCAAAAGTATACTTAATGATACAGGAGTCATTGAGACAGAATTTAAAGAATATATTTGCTAAATAAAATATTACAGTATATAAGCCTCAAAATTCTTCTCTGGCCAAAGAAAAAAGGGAAATTAAAATTCTAGCATTCCCTTTTCAGCAAACTCTCTTGAGGATTTGTATAAAGTCAACCCATATAAACAGTCTAAAAAATAAAGCGGAGGGCTTATTATGTGGAGGGCTGTGAGTTTTTGCTAGTTAGGGAAAACAGTTTTTAAATATGTAATTAACAGCTTTTGTTTTAGCAGCTGGATACAATGTCTCAAAGAACAGAGGACATGGAGGGATTCAGTGATTATTCATCTATAAAATATTAAATAATTGATAACCACTGGACACTGTTCCAAAACTCCCTTTTTGGGAAAGGAGAAGTCTTAAAAAATTGGAAGCAGTTTGACAAGAGAACTTAGTCCCATTTTTAAGTGTTTTGGGTTTACCTGTTGCTATTAATGTACAAGACACCCTTGTTCTGAAGCACCAAAGATTTTTGTGACACTGCTTTTGAAAATGGAAGAAAAAAATAATAATTTGCATGGACTTGATATCATAGATGTAGAAGTTTGGGACAGTCCACTAGTGAATAATTTCATTAGATAATTGAACTAGCATTCAGTGGACAAAAAGTGTTGTTTTGTTATGGCTGATTAAACAAACTAAACAAAAATTGTTTTGCATGTTTTTTTAATGAAAATCCATCAAATTACTGAAAGAGGATCAGTTCCTGCCAGTTAATGGTTCCCTTATTTTTTGTGTACCAAGATAAGATATTTATAGATGAGGCAAATAAATATCAGAGGGATAGCCATGTTAGGTATCCTCAAAAATGAGAGTCCTATGATACCTTAAAGGGTAGGGGTATGTCTATACTTGCAACCTCTTTGGAGAGAGGGATGCAAATGAAGACATTCAAAATTGCAAATGAAGCCAGGATTTAAGTATCCCGTGCTCCATTTGCATATTTGCATTATGGTGCTGTTTTGAAATAGCACTACAGGCAGTTCCCGGGTTACGTACAAGATAGGGACTGTAGGTTTGTTCTTAAGTTGAATCTGTATGTAAGTCGGAACTGGCGTCCAGATTCAGCCGCTGCTGAAACTGACCAGCAGTGGCTGAATCAGGATGCCTGGAGCAGAGCAGCTGGGGTGCTGCCGGGTTGGTCCCGTAGCGCCCAAAGCGGCGCTACGGGACCAACCGGCAGCGCCCCAGCTGCTGTACCACAGGCGCCCGGAGCAAAGCCGCGGAGCACGGGGGCCGCGGGACAGCCCAGACGCGCCATGGCTATCCTGCTGCCCTCGGGCTCTGCGGTTTACTCTGCTTTGCTCCCCGTCCCCCTGGTCTGCAGACCAGGGGGACGGGG